GGGGCAGGCGCCCACGCTGAAGGCTCTGGCGGTGCTCAGCCTGCTGGCGGGCGCGCTGGCGCTAGCCGAGCTGCTGGGTGCGCCGGGGCCCGCGCCCGGCCTGGCCAAGGGCTCGCACCCGGTGCACTGCGTCCTCTTCCTGGCGCTCTTCGTGGTCACCAACGTCCGGTCTCTGCAGGTGCCCCAGCTGCAGCAGGTCGGCCAGCTGGCATTGCTCTTCAGCCTCACCTTCGCGCTGCTCTGCTGCCCCTTCGCGCTGGGCGGCCCCGCTGGGGATCCCGCGGTCACCTTCGTGTCCTATGCGCTGCTGCCTGTGCGCAGCCTGCTGGTTATCGGATTCGGGCTCGTGGTGGCCGCCTCACACTTGCTGGTCACAGCCACCTTGGTCCCCGCCAAGCGCCCACGTCTCTGGAGGACGGTAAGTGCCGCCGCGCGCCCCCTGGACACCTTCCCAGGCGGACCGGTAGCGCCCACAGAGCTTCTTCTTATGGGCAGGTGTGGAAACTGAGGACTGGAATGGGGCTGTGTTCAAGGTCACTCTGAGTTGGGCACGCAGTCGGGGCCAGCACCCTCGGGCCTGGGCTTTCTTCTGAGTTGGTGTCCACAGAGCGCCCTAGGGCGCGGAGTGTGGAGAACGGAGACAGGTGTGGAGAGGGGAAGGATTAGCCAAGGTCAGGCAGCTGGTGAGCGGCCAAGGGGGACCACAGCGCGTCCGCTGTCCTTCCTTCACTGCATGCACCCCCGCGGAAGGACCGAGGGGCGGGGGCCGAGGTGGTGGCTCTGGCTGCCGGGCTCACGGTGCCACAGCCCCGGGTCCCCTTTCTGGCGGGCGGCGAGCCTGGAGCATGTGCGAGGCTGTCTTCCCGCCCTGCAGACCCAAGGGAGTACTTGGGGGTTGGGAAAACGTTGGGGGTGGGAAAGCACTTTGGACCCTCCTGGCCGCCTGTTGTAGACTTGTCTCAGGCAATGAAGGAACAGGGTTTGCCAAGGTCACCTATTATTATAGTCCCTGCTGCCTGTCGCCCTGACCCTGCTCACCGCCCCTGAACTTTGTCACTATCTCTCAGTTGGATTTCGAGATGGTTGCCAGGAAAGGTGGCTTGGTGCCTCCTGCGGGTCCCTCCTGTGCCCAGGATGTCTTTGTCCAGGGGAGCTTCGGAGTATCTCCTGGGGCCCAGCCCACCTGGGAGTGTGAGGTCCAGAGGGAGGGTTTTGCTTCTACCCTTAGCTTCTGGTTAGCAGCAGGAGGGGGATCCCCTCCACGTAAGGGAGGCAGCAGTGGCTGCGCATGTGGGGAGGAAAGGGCTGGCGGGAGCTGATGGAGGGAAGACTGATGGGGTTGGATGATTGGCATCAGACAGGCCTAACACTCAAGACCAGGGAGGTCCCCAGTGTTGGGTCGGAGGTCATAGGTGCACAGCTTGGCTTGGGAGAGACACATTGCTGGCCTTGTGTTTAGGGCCAGCCAGACAAGCATCTGCTTCAACCCATCGACATGAAGCAGTAGAGAGGTCTGGAGGTGAGAAAGAGAGGGAGAGAAGTGCAGGGGAAGGCCAGACAGGAGAGGCACCAGTAAAGGCAGAAAAAGGGGTGCAGGAGCTAGAGGTCTGTAAGCCCCGGGAGGGGAGGGGGCTTGGGGGTCTCCAGCGGGCCTCTTCCATGGCCTCCTGGGGGCTCACTCCCAACCTCATTCCTTGGCCCCCATGTGTCCATGTTAGCCTGGGCTTGTGATGGTTGAGTGCCAGAACCCTACATGCAAGATGACCACCCTGCTCTGACCTGATGCCAGGGCATCTCTGGAGCAGAAGGGGTTGAGCTCGGAGATCCTGGAGTAGGTGCAGGGACCCTGCCACACTGTGTCCACCCTGGGTACATCAGGGAGGCAGCTGGTGCAGTAAAAGGTGGAGTTATTGTTCTTCCCTTTTCACATAAAGAATTTTTCTGTATACCCTCTAGTCATTCCTTTTAAAGAATTAAAGATGAAAAAATGAGTGAGGGTTCTGCAAAGCTACCCCTGGACACAGAGCCCATCTGGGAGCAGGATTCTGGGGGATCAGGACTCTAGGTTTTCCTGCTGGGAGCTGTGTCTCCAGGCAGTGGGAGGATTGTCCCTCCTGAGCCAGCTTCCCAACTCTGTAGACGGCCTGATGGCTCCAGTGCAGGGCGAGCAGCTTTATGGGAGGAGCACATATCTGCCACTTGTACAGCATTTTGGCCTCTCTGGACTGTTTGTGTTCAAGATCACGTGTGGGCGCAGGTGGGAATGATATTGACAAGTTTTAAGTGGGGATCTGTGTCTAGCGAGAGGATAGATAAACGTGAAGGGATTTCATCTTCCAATAGGAAAGTTCCAGGAGCCTGTGGAGTCTGTCCTTCGGGAGCTCTGCAGCCGACCCCAAGCTGAGTGAAGATGGCGGGCACATTTTGAGCATTGGTGATGCTGCTGCCCTCCCCATTCACCGCCTGCCTCCTGTCCAGGCCCTGTCACTGTGCAGTGTAGTCACCTGCTGACAGTGTGGCTTCCTCAGGACTGCATTCTGGCTACGAAGTAGTGTGCTGGTTGATGCCCACCAGTCAGACTGAACGAAGAGCAGGGTCTCAGAGAGATGCCCTTGTTGCATATGCAGGGGTGCTGTGCCCTCCCCCTCTATGCTGTCCTGGGGTTGAGCTCCGTGAAAGCTCCAGGGCCTGGCAGCTTCAGAGTAGGTGAGCTCCCTGGCAGAGATCTCCTCCCCTGGGATCCTGCCACTCCTAGCAGACTCCAGTGTCTTCTTTTCCTGGACAGCCTTGGTTCAAGTCCCTGTGGTCTCTTCCTCCAGCCTCTGCCCCTCTGCAGACGGGAGAGGCTGTCTCTGCCCTTCTTCCAGCCTCTGTCCCTGTGCAACAGTCACCTGGGGCATTCCCATAGCACCTCCAGTGCAAGGGGCTTTGACACCTCTGGTTTCCCCTCTGTGGAACTCTGGCCAGCCAAGGACTATGGGAGGCATAGGGGAGAAGCCTGTTGGCACAGGTGGGGCTTAGTTACTGGTGCTTAGCTTCCTCCAGAGGGCGTGCCTGAGGCTCATTTTTATCCAGAGCAAGCATAGAGAAGGTGGTAGTAAATGTGCATGAATTGAGTCCCTCTTCTCCCAGCTCCTTGCTTCCTGGCCACTGGGGATACCTAAATAAAATGCAGCCATTTAGCTGAGAGACTGTCGGAGTGAAAGAAGCCTGTGCACAAGCACCCTCTGGGCATGGCTGGCTGGCAAGGTGGGCTGGGGAGCATAGGCAGGGTCTGGAGAAGTGTAGCATTTCCTGGGGAGAGAAAAGGCAGATGCCCGTGTCTGATGTCTGGAGCTCCTAGGAACAGCATGGGAAGCTGGAGATGAGCTCCCTGATGCCCAGGGACCCACCAGGGAGGAGGAGAAGCTGATGGAGAAGTAAAGGAAGGAGCGTGTGTGACATCATTGCCCTGAAGAGCATATGGGAGATGAGAGGACTCTCTGGAGACAGGTGACCTGGGCAGGGCTCGGGGCAGCACCCATAGAGTACAGGGTCCCCCTATGGCCTGCCCCCTCATGTATATTGGGATGCAGACCTGTGAAAGAGGTGACTGCTCTGCCAGCTTGGACTGGCCTCCCTATGCCACCTGGTGTCCCTTGGTTCCGAAGTGCCTGCCTTTGGACTAGTGTGTATCTGAATTAATTTAATTGTATTTTTTTGAAGTAGCAGCATGCAGATTTATGTTTTCAATCTGGTTGCCTGTCAACGTAGATGAGGTATTTTCAGGACCTGCCCAGTTTGCACTCGCAAGGCATCATAACATATCACGATTATTGCCGAGAAATGCGGGGGGCAGCAGGAACTCCACTGTGCAGCCCCGGTTCTGCCTGAGCCCTGGTGCAGAACTGAGAACTGCTCAGAGGTGCAGCCAAGGTGCCGCAGCAGGCAGAATGGCAGCAGGCCCAGGTGACCTGGTTGTTCACAGCAAAGCCGAGGCCTGAGTGTGTGTCGGGCATGCCCACTGCCTGCTCTCAGGTGTGCCCACGCCTTACAAGTCTTCTCCTCCTTCAAGGTCACCTAACTAGGGGAGGCTGTCCCTGTGTGTTCTAGTCCTCTTGCTAGTTCTTTCAGCTGCTGGATCCCTTCTTCTCTGACTGGCCCCTACTTCCCTGCTGACCCCTTCTCCAGCACCGGTGCCCCACTTAGCCTTCTTTCCTCAGATGGCACCTCTTGGGTGGCGCTCACTTGTGCACCCATTTACCCTGGCTGACCGGGTGCTGACAGGGCAGGGTTGGGTCAGTGAGGGTATGGATGGGTTCTCCTCGTGGAGTGTGAGGGTGGGTGGTGGGATCCCCTGACCTGTCCTTGACTGCACCCCCCCCAGCCCTGTCTCTTAGCTACCCTGGCACAGCCCCCACACTCCCCACTTGTGTCTGCTGTCCCTGCATTTACCTCTCCAGCCTACTGCTGCTTCTAGCTCTAAGCCCATATTCTGTAGGGGGCACTGATTCCCATGGAAGAGCTTGCCACTTCTGCTCTGCAGAAGAGTCTCAGGCCTGTTCAGGTGTTAGAGCCCAGCCCCACTGATGGTCAGTGGGCCAGAGGGCCTGGGATGGCTCCTTCAGGGACTAGGTGTTGTGAAGGGTCTGTAGCTGCCAGGCTGTGTGTGCTGTTCCTGACCTGACAGCATTTAGGGCCAGGCTAAGCTAGGGACATCATTGCCCTGGAGAGCATGTGGGGGATGAGAGGAATCTCTGGAGACAGGTGACCTGGGGGCCAGGAGGAATGAGACCCTCATTGTCCAGAAGTTCTTATCTATGGGCAGCAGCGTGCTGGTTGATGGCCCAAAGTCAGACTGAAAAAGGGACTGTGCTTTGTCTAGGTATCACCTGGTCAACAGCTGGCACAGCAGTCCCCAGTGGGCAGGCAGGTTCATGCATGGGGCCTTATGCTGTGCAGAGGGGACACCCTGGCTTGAGGTTGCTCCTCAAAGACCATACACTCCAGCCAAGGAGGCTGTAGGGTGGAGGGGAGGCTCTCCAGAGGCCCCACAGGTGGGTGTAGTGAGGACACAATGAGGACTTGCCTTTTTCTTGAGGACAGCAGGGAGTGTGACCACAAAGAAAGAGGTGCAGGCCTAAGGGGGCACGCAGAGACCAGCAGTTACCATGCCAGGGTGCCTCCGGTGGGAGTTGACTGCTTGCCACGGTATCTGCCCATCGTCACAGCTGTTGGCACGCCTTTCCAAGGCTCATGGCCATTTTTGGCGATATTTCTCCCCTGCCTGGCTCTGGGGTGGAGAGGGCCAGGGCTGAGTTCCTCAGTTGCAGGTTCCTGAGCAGTGGTAGGCATGGCTCAGAGGCCTGGCCCAGACATGAGCTCAGCCTGTTTCCTGGTCAGCTGGGAGCTGCTGAGCTGGTGAAGTGGTAAATTTGC